GGGGGGAGTCGGGAGGGGCTCCAGCCTCGCAGCCTCCTGGAGCGAGGGGGGCAGGGCAGGTCTGGGCGCTCGGTTTCAGGAAGGAAATGGACACATTGGAAAAACTGTGATCTGTGGGCAGAGGGAAACAGCAAGGGTCCCTTAGCTTGGGGAAGAGAAGGGGAGGGGGTATGATAACTTTCCAAGTACTAGGTAGGGATATTAAATTTCGGTTAATTGAATAGTTGAGTAACCTCATGAATTCGTATGGGTTAGTTGACTATTCTATAGTCCCCAGAGATGGAGCTGGCAGCCAACGTGCTCCTGCCCCACTGCCAAGGAGCCCCCTGCACTTCACACTGTTGCCTCTGTATCAGAGGCAGCAGTGCAGGGTGTCAGGTGGGAGCTGGTCCATGAGGGTTTAAAAAAACAGCTTCCCTCATGGACCTGTCAGCCCACACTACCGCCTCTGATAAAGAGGCAGCAGTGCAGGGTGGCAGCAGCTCCTAGTTGTGGGTGTTGTCTGAGCTCCCAGACCCGGCACAAGTTGGAACTGAGCCGGGTTGCTTGCTTGCCCAACTCCTAATATACTTTAAATGCAGAGCTGCAGCAGGGGTAAATCCTGGAGCCATTGCAAGCCAGGACTGAGCCAGAGTGTTGGGTAACCTGCTGAAAAATTTACTGGGGGGAGGAGAGGAGGAGAATACATGTAGTCTATAGCGTTAACCTATAAGCTTTTGCTTAACGGTTAATCAACTACACCAGTGGTCTCCAACCTTTCGGGGCTGCTGGGCGCCTGAGGGCGGTGTTACCAGATTTGCCCAATACTCTGGGGTATGCTCATTCATCAGGGTTACCCTTATGGGACTGGGGGAAGGTTAACAGATCTATCAGTGTGCTGTTGGTGCTTACTTGGGCTCTCATATGGAGCTGAATTCTCCCTGCTGCCAATTCCCCCTCCCACTGGAGCTCTCCTGCAGGAACTAGGTTCCTCAGGATGGGGTTCTTACCACCTTGGCAACACAGAGCGGGGCCGGCCCAGATGATTTGGCGGGCACATAGAAATGCCCCGGTGAGCGCCGTGGCGCCCGCAGGCACTGTGTTGGGGACCACTGAACTACACTATTACATCCCTAGCTCCAGCCAGACTGGGCCTATGGAAGGTGGGTGTGGCACTGCTCCAGCCTGGTCAGGCCACCAGTTAACCATTCACAGTTCCATCAAGTACGTGAAATGTTAGAAGGGAACAGTGAAATTGTTGTCCACGGAGGATAGGATAAGATGCAATGGGCTTAAATGACAACCAGGGCGTTTTAGGCTGGACAGTATGAAAACTAGCCTGTAGGTAGTTAAACATTAGACCAAACTGCCAATGGATTTTGCAGCATCTCTGTTGTTGGAGGTTTTTAAGAACAGGTTAGACATCTCAGGAATAGTTTAGTTAGGTAGTCTTGCATTAGTGCTAGGGACTGGACTGGACAACCGCTTATGATCCATTCTAGGCTAGGGATGTTACATTTTGATTAATTAATCGAATAGTCAGTGGGATTTCCAGTGATTAATGGATAAGAACTAGCACATTCTGCCTTTTGAAAAGTACAAGAGCCCCAGCAGCAGAGGACTCTGAGTCGACTACCCGATAAGCTTTTGCTTGTCAGATAGTTGACTAGTCAATTAGTCGCTTATATCCTTATTCCAGTCCTGTATGTATATGGTTCTAAGTTTACAGTGGGTCTGGTCCACGAAAGCTCATCATCTAATAAACCATCTAGTTAGTCTTTAAAGTGCTACGTAGTCCTGCATTTTGCTTCAGCTACACCAGACTAACACGGCTACATTTCTATTACTATTCTAAGTTTACAGTGGCACTTTACTGTGCTGCAACTTTGTGACTTGGGGATGTGAAAAAACACCTTGTTGGGAGTGCTGTAAAGCACCTGTATAAACTGGGCTACAGTGCAGGGAGCCATGCTCCCAACATAGTTCGCTATTCCCTTTGTGATCGGTTATGCAGAGTTCTTGGAGATTTCTCTCCTAGTGCTCCTACCATGGCCACACTGCTGCATTATAAGCACTGCTACAGCTGTACTTTAAGCTTTGAAATCTTGACAGTCTTATGTCCTTCCTAGCCCCCAGGCCTCACTTGCTCATTGTTGCTGTTCTCTGGCATTCTGTGTTCAATAATGTATGCAGTGGTAAATGTAACGTATGCCTTCACCCAGTGTCATCATCCTTGTAGATTATCATTAAAAATCTGTGCAAATTGCTTGTAGCAAATTATATTGATTGGATAGCTATAGCTCCTTTTTGTGGATTATCCATAAGCAACCTTTTGGGTTTTGAAAAAGCACTTTGTAATTGTTTAGCCCCTGCTTGTGCTGTGAATGTGTGCTATCATATGGGGCTGTGCATGAATTAGTTGCTTGGCCTGTTTATTATGGACTGTTTTGTGTTGTCAGGTCATTCAAGTCATACAGTTTGGTTTCTGCTCACTGGATGATGAAATGTTATAGAAGAGCATGGCTAGAGGATAGAGACAATGGAGGAGGACCCAGGAGAAGGCTGGGCTCCATTCCTGGCCCTGTCTCTGGCCTTTTGGATGGCGTTAGAGAAGTCCATTCTGGTACATCTTAGTTTCCTGATGTGTAAAATGCGGCTAAAAATACAGGTTGACCCTTCTAGTCCAGCATACTCTGGTCCAGCAGCATCTGTGGTCCGGCATGATTTTAGCCAGATGCCTGCTTATCATGGGTGTGGCCAAGTTTCCTTCAGTCCCCTTAAGTTTGTTTATAGCCACCAGTCCTGGCTTCAAGTGATCTATGCTGCTGTTAGCTCTAATTTATCCCTAAATGTCTTCTAAGAACCCAATACACATTGGAAATATTGGTAATGCTGCTAGATAATACTGACTTCCTGTGGTTTGACAAATTGTCTGGTTCCACACTGGTCAGGTGCCAAACTAGAGAAGTTCTACCTGTATTTGTGAAGCACTTCATGATTGGGTGAAAAGCACTATATAAAAACTAGGATTTATATTTTATTTATAAACAGGGTGAGCACTTAGGGCTTCTTGCTCAAGGAACAGCTGTGTGCCAACAAGTGTGCAACCCTCTTTTTAAAAGTAATGTTGGACAAGAAAAGGTGAAAATGTGACTACATTGCAAAGTACAGACTCAGGTGTGGTCTGCACTTTAATAAGTGATGTATAAAAACCTATCTACCATTCCTTGGTTGAGAGGAGAGGAGCAGAGCAGAAGGTGGGTCGGGGAAGATGTTCCTACACTAGCAGAAAAATCCTTTCTAAAGGAGTAGTTTTAATCTCTGCTTCTGGGTAAGGCTGACATAGCTGTGCCAGTGTGGTCTCTATAGTATAGACACAACCTAAGTGGAAAGGTTCTTAAATTACTTTGCCAACAGTTTCTCCAACTGATAGCCAAAGAAACTAAGTTGTAGCCCAAGTGCTGGGTGTGATATGTTTATCATCTGTTTTTTCCACTGATGGAAATGCCATTTTTTGTTCCACTTCTTTCTGCTCTGTCATTTTCAGTTTGTTGCAATGGCTGGGGATACAAGAGCAGCAGCTGCCAGTCAGGCAAAAAGACTGAAGAACAGCAAAGAGGAGACAGAAAATCAAGAGGAAAATGGACACCAAGACAAAAAGTTCAAAGGATGCCAAGAGGATGTGGAGGATCAGAATAAAAAATTTCCCAAAAGGAAGATTGTTCTGTTGATGGCGTATTCTGGGAAAGGCTACCATGGGATGCAGGTATGCAGTGAGGCAAATGCTACTCAGCCTCTTGTGTTGGGGGGTGCATATCTGTCTGTATCAATCTGCCCAAAGTAGTGCAGTGTCAGAAATGAGGGGAGCCAAGAAGGATAAGGCTGAGAAATGTTATAGCCCAATCTCAGATTCTGATGTGTTAGTGTCCTTTAGAGGAAGCCTAGAGAATGTGGATTAAATTATGCTAGTAGCCGGTCCACACCAGCTTTCCTGCCAGTGTTGATACTGGTGGAACTTACTGGAGTTGTAGCAACAATGTGAGATCTTTCAGAAAAAAACCTTGCTCTAGATAGCCCTTCAATGTAGACTGAAAGCACCAAGCTACAGCTCCACTAGTTCAACTAAGAAGCCTAGTGTTACCTTGTAACATGCCTGCTACTTTTTCACTGAGATCGTTAAGATTCTGCAGTTGTGGCTGTTTCACTACCTCCTGGATTTTCCAAGCCCTGTTCATTTAATTTCTAAAATGTTTTTGGCCACTGTCAGCAGACAGGATACTGAGCTATATGGACCTTTGATCTGACTCAGTATGGCCATTCTTATGTTTAGATGTGTACAGGCAAAAATGGGCATAAGACCAACATTCCACAATGTGTCCTCTAGTGTAGATGAGTTCTTCAATTTATCATTGAAATGCACACAGAGCAGAGGGCTCCAAAACATGTACATTACATTTCTGCCTCTTTCTGTTGCATTTTTAGAACCTCTCTTTCCTGGAGATACTTGTCCCAATCCAGCCCCATGATTCTGATGTGCTCCACTGGATTGTTTTACTTCTGCCTAACTGGCGCGGGGGGGGGGGGGTAGGTTTGCATCAGTATAACAACATTGCTACAAAGTGTTTCCAGGATAGACAAGCCCACAGATACATGACTGCTCTCTTAACCAAGCTGTGCAGAAAGTGACTTTTTGAATGCAGTAATAGCAGTTGTGAGCCCTTAGATGTATACAATCTAGGGATGTAAAATCCCATTTAATCCTTTAATTACTTAATCGATTAAACATTAACTGGAGGCAGGCGGGGGTGCATTCCAGCTTTGGCCAGGGGCTGCTCCATCCCGGCTGGTTTCGTCCCCATAAGCTGGGAGCTGGCAGATCCCAGCTCCCTCTGCATCTGGTCCCTGAGCTAGCAGCCCCCCGGGCTGGAGCAACCCACATCCCTAATATAATCTAAGAATATATATCATCTAATTTATTAATACAAAAGCGGCGAGGAGTCCTGTGGCACCTTATAGACTAACTGAAGTGCTGGAGCATAAGCTGTCGTGGGCAAAGACACACTTCGTCAGATGCATCTCATGAAGTGGGTCTTTGCCCACGACAGCTTATGCTCCTACACTTCATTTAGAGGGATCAGGGGGTTAGCCATGTTAGTCTGAATCTGCAAAAGCGGTAACAGCTTTATAGACTAAATGAAGTGTAGGAGCATAAGCTGTCGTGGGCAAAGACCCACTTCATGAGATGCATCTGACGAAGTGTGTCTTTGCCCACGACAGCTTATGCTCCAGCACTTCAGTTAGTCTATAAGGTGCCACAGGATTCCTCGCCGCTTTTGCAGATTCAGACTAACACAGCTACCCCTCTGATTTATGAATACAGTGACCCAGAATTTCAATGTGATGGCTTTGGCTGTACTGGAATAACAGCTCCTCTGGTGCTGTTTTGCAGACTCACAGATTGGTCATTTGTGATCTCTACACAAATCCAGTTATTCATGGTGTTGGCAGGCATTGAGGAATCATCTGAAATCACTTCTATCTGTTACCAGCTATAAAAGCAAAAGAAATACTAAAACTATGTTTGTCTCATTCATGACTCCAGGTAAAATATAATGGCTAGAGTTTAAAAGCTTCAGAGGGGTAGCTGAGTTAGTCTGTAACTGGAAAAAATTTTAAAAAACAACATGCAGCACCACAGGGTATGACTACACTTGCACCCTATTTCGAAATAAGGATGCAAATACAGCAGTTCAAAATCGCAGATGAAGCAGGGATTTAACTATTCCATGCTTCATTTGCATAATTGTGTTATGGCGCTATTTCGAGTTAGCATTATTTTGAATTAATAGACGCTGTGTAGATGCGGTTATTTCGAGAGAAAACCCTTCTCTCAAAATAACTGTTAAACCTCATTGTACGAGGAATAAGGGTTATTTCAAGAGAAGGGCTTTCTCTTGAAATAACCACGTCTACACAGCGTCTGATAATTTGAAATAGCGTTAACTCAAAATAGCTCCATAATGTGATTATGAAAATGAAGCACAAATCTCAGCTTCATTTGCAATTTCGAACTGCTGCATTTGCATCCCTATTTCGAAATACGGTGCAAGTGTAGACATACTCTTAGAGACTAACAAAACATGTAGATGGTATTATTAGCTTTTGTGGGGACAGCCCACTTCTTCAGAGGAGTGGAGTATTAAAGGTCCAGTTTCTAAATAAATAGCGGGTTGGGGGAAGAGAAGGGAAAGAAAAAAGGGGAAAGAAATAGAGTCTCCATGCTGCATGAAACTGATAGAGAAGGTACTGATTGTTCTTATCAGCTTCATGCAGCATGGATGCTCTAATTGACTATTTTTCCCCTTTTCCCCCTTCCCCCCTTTATTTATTTAGAAACTGGACCTTTAATAACTCCATTCATCTGTAGATGTGGGTTGTGCCCATGAAAGTTCATGATACCATCTACGTGTTTTATTAGTCTCTAAGGTGCTGCGTGACTATTCGTTGTTTTTTGGGTAGAGTTTGTTTGAGTGTGGCATTGCTGTTTGTTCTATGAAAAGAGAACTTTGAAAATTAATTGAGAGTCCATTGTCTAATGGATCCTGGATAATGATGAATCTTCAAATAAAGTATTAATTGTAGTTTTTTCCTCTGTTTGTCTTCAGCGAAATGTGGGGTCCTTACAGTTCAAGACAATAGAGGATGATCTAGTATCTGCCCTCGTTCGGTCAGGGTGCATCCCGGAAAATCATGGTGAAGATATGAAAAAAATGTCCTTTCAGAGGTGTGCACGAACAGACAAGGTGTTGAAGCTCTTTCTTTCATGCTCTAACAGAAGCTAGTGGTACTAAGATCGTTTGATTGTCTATGAATCATGTGCATTTTGGATCACTGATGAGAAATAAGATCATTTTATAATGTGAGATTCTCATTTGTTAGTGAATATATAGTTATATTAAATATAAAATATTTGTAGTGTGTGTACACATTCTCTACTAAATTAAAATTTAAATAAATTCTAGTTAGTAAATACAAAAGTAGCAATTAGATATTTATACAGATTCTTATTTATAAAGCATCTGTGATAATCTGTTTGTTACTTCTTCCTTCCAACCCACTTCTCCCTTGTTTGTTCTGTCCTCTTAGTAATTTTTTTTGTGGGGTTTTGGGGACTGTTTTCATTCTTTGACTATGTGGCGCTTACCACAGCGGGGCTCTTATTCTTAATGAAAATTCGGAGATGTTACTCTAATATACAGATTTGTATACAGCACATGTTTGGTTTTGTAGGAATCAAATACATTGAAATGCTACAGAGGAAGGTGACATTATAATATATTTGCAACCTTATTCCTTTCTCCAAACTTACTAAACTATCAGAGATCCTCACAGTATGTTGAATCTCTTTTCATGTATTCATGGGTCTCTCCTGTCCTCAAGCCCAGACCCTTCCTGCCACCACCCTGCCTTGACTCCCCCCTCCCAACTCCACCGCCCCTACACACACTCCAGTTGCACCCAGTCCTCCGGCCTGCAGGGAGATGCAACCTCAGGTGGCCTGTTGTGAGGCAGCAGCAGTGGTCAGGTTCCCCTCCACTCGCTATGGGAAAATGGAGTACTCACTCTGCTGCCCCGTTATTCATAGATTTCACTACACATGATGGTATCAGGAATGCATCCATCTTGAATGGCGAGCATTTGTGGTACCCTAGCCCAAGGGTGATTTTTGGCTACAGCACAGAGTTGGGGGAGCTGGGTTCTATTCACAGCTTTATTATAGTATGCTTTCTGTGTGACTGTGAGAAAATCCTTTAAATGCTTATTCTTGTTTATCTCAGTTTTACCAGTGGGAGAGGGGGACACAATGCATCTTAGATTTGCTGAGGTGCTGAATTTTTTGTTCTGTTTTTTCTGTATGATTCTGACTGCAGGATGCCTTTTTATGGTAGCGTCTTTGTTTCATTTCACAATGACCAGTAACAGTAAAGAAAATGAACGAGAGTGTATACAGATGATCTATTTTAAATTTTTGTTCTGATTCAGATCTTTCATTGTGGCTTCATTACAAATGTGTGTTCTCATTGGTTTTGTTTTCATAGGGTGTGTCTGCTGCTGGACAGATTGTGTCACTGAAGATCTGGCTGATAGACAACGTTTTAGAAAAGATCAATAACTATCTTCCTGCTCATATCAGAATTTTGGGTAAGAATATGAAAAAGTAGGTATCCCAGCAGTATGTACAAACACTGATTTTAATTGAAAGAGGAATTTTTTACTAAAGAGCTTTTTGCTATACCATTCAGATTTTTTTTTCAAATATGTCAGTGTGAAAAGGTTTGGGGTGTTTTTTTAATCTCCTTCTGTTTTATATTGATTCTTCTTGGTGTGTGTGGAGAGGGGAGGGGGATTGGCTGATACAGAAGTTTTGTTAACAAAATGTCATTTTTAAAAATGAGGACTGAAAAGAGTCACCGGCGGATTCAGCTCCAAGAACAAATGTGATGCCAGAACCTACTTCTACATGTTACCAACATTTGCCTTTGCCCATAAAGATCATGGTATCCAAGATGAAACTTACCAACTGAGCAAAGAGACACTTGAGAAAGTCAACAAGCTTCTTGCTTGCTACAAAGGGACCCATAACTTCCACAACTTCACCTCTCAGAAGGCACCCAAAGATCCCAGTGCCAAACGATATATCATGGAGATGTATTGCGAAGAGCCCTTTGTGAGGGAAGGCATGGAATTTGCAGTGATAAAGGTGAAAGGACAGAGTTTTATGATGCACCAAATAAGGAAGATGATCGGTTTGGTGATAGCTGTGGTGAAAGGCTATGCACCTGAGTCCATCATGGAGCGCAGCTGGGGAGAAGAAAAGGTGGATGTTCCCAAAGCTCCAGGGCTTGGGCTGGTCTTGGAAAAGGTGCACTTTGAAAAGTACAATAGACGCTTTGGAAATGATGGTTTACATGAGCCACTGGAATGGAAGGAGGAGGAGGAGAAAATTGCTATTTTCAAAGAGCAACATATCTATCCCACTATTATAAACACAGAAAGGGAGGAGCAATCTATGATGAGCTGGCTGAGCACCCTCTCCATCCATGACTTCAGTGCCACTTCTTCAGGTGTACAAGTTGATGACAGAAATTCAAAGGTAATGGTTGAAGCTAGGGATGTAGTGTAGTTGATTAACTGATAAGCAATAGACTACACACATTTCCCTTCCCCTGTCCCCCAACCAGTACATTTTTTAGAAGGCTGGCCAGCAGTTATGGCTCTAACTGGGTGCGGGACCTACCCTTGCTGTGGCTCTTCATCTAAAGTATATTAGGAGCCAGATGGGCAAGAAGCCCAACTCAGTTCTGGTTTGCACCAGGTTCAGGAATTCAGACCCTGCCGCCCCCACAGAGAGGGGCTGCTGCCACCCTGCATTGTTGCCTCCTTATTAGAGGCAGCAGCACAGGGCAACAAGCATCTGGTCTGCAAGAGGAGCTGGTTTTTAAACTGGCTCCCCTCTCGGACTAGCTCCTGCCTGTCACCTTGTGCTGTGGCTGGCCCTGCCCCAAAGGACTATAGAACAGTCAACTAACTGATAAGAATTCATGAGGTTATTTGATTATTCAAATAACCGATATTTAACATCCCTAGTTGAAGCTATTAGCTTTTTTAAAGGACACTCTGAACACTTACCTGGTGTCACTACACCATCTAACATAATCTTAGAGACTATATTAAAATAATCAGAGATACATATATTTCTCAATATTTGGATATGACAGCATAAGAACAACCATGTGGGTCAGTCCGACGGTCTGTCCAGCCCAGTATCCTGTCTGCTGTCAGTGGCCAATACCAGATGCCCCAGAGGGAGGGATCACAACAAGTAATCCTCATGTGATCCTTCCCCTGTCACCAACCTCCGGAGAAAAAGAGGCTAGGGATAGCATTCCTATCCATCCTGGGTAATAGCCATTGTTGGACCTAACCTCCATGAATCTATCTGGCTCTTTTTTGAATGCTGTTAAACTTCTAGCCTTCCCCACATGCTCTGGCAAGGAGTTCTACAGGTTAACTGTGCGCTGAATGAAGAAAAACTTCCTTTTCTTTGTTTTAAACCTGCTGCCTATTAATTTCATTTGATGGGAATAAGTAAATAACTTTTCCTTATTCACTTTTTCCACACCAGTCAGGATTTTATAGACCTCTATCATATCCCCCCTTAGTCTCCACTTTTCTAAGCTGAAAAGTCCAAGTCTTTTTAATATTTCTTCATATGGCACCGTTCCAAACTCCTATTCATTTTTGTTGCCCTTTTCTGAACCTTTTCCAATGCCCATATATCTTTTTTGAGATGAGGTGACTACATCTGTACGCAGTATTCAAGATGTGAGCGTACCATGGTTTTATATAGAGGCAATAGGATATTTTCTGTCTTTATTCTGTATCCCTTTTTAATGATTCCTAACATTTTATTTGCTTTGTTTGACTGCTGCTGCATAGTGAGTGGATATTTTCAGAGAACTATCCACAATGACTCCAAGATCTCTCTCTTGAGTAGTTGTAGCCAAATTTGTCCCCCATCATATTGTATATGTAGTTGGGATAGTGTTTTCCAATGTTCATTACTTTACATTTATCAACGTGAAATTTCATTTGCCTTTTTCTTGCCCAATCACTTAGTTTGGTGAGATCTTTCTGAAGCTCTTCACAGTCTGCTTTGGTCTTATCTATCTTGAGCAGTTTGGTATCATCTGCAGATTTTGACACCTCACTGTTTATCCTTCCTCTAGATAATTTATAAATAAGTTGAATAGGATTGGTCCCAGGACAGACCATTGGGGGACCCTACTAGTTACCTTTCTCCACTCGGAAAACTTGCCATTTTTTCCTGGCTGTTCTTTCCTGTCTTTTAACCAGTTAAACACCTTCCCTTTTAGCCCATGACAACTTACTTTACTTAAGAGCCTTTGGTGAAGGACCTTGTCAAAGGCTTTCTGGAAATCTAAGTATACTGTATCCACTAGATCCCCCTTGTCCACATGTTTGTTGACCCCCTCAAAGAACTCTAGCAGATTAGTAAGGCATGATTTCCCTTTACAGAAACCATGTTAACTTTCCCCCAACAAATTATATTCATCCATGTGTCTGACAGTTTTATTCTTCACTATCGTTTCATCCCTGGCATATGGTCACTTTTACAGTTTTTGTTGGTAAGGAAGAAATATTTTAAAGTGCAGGAATATATGATTGCTAACCCACATAAATATGGGTTGAGAGCCCAAGCAGATATTTTTATTTATAACTATCTGAATTCAAGGGAAACTATATTTCAGATTGACAGGATCCTTTTAAATACAAATTTGCATGAAGAACTCACTTATCCTCTATCTAATTTTCTGTTTTATTTAATATTCTATTCACTTGCAAAAAAGCTTAAAGTAAGAGGAAAGAAAATGTAGTTACTCTGCTCCCTAATCTTCTAAACAGGAGTGGACAATAATTTTTGATGGAAGGGGCCACGCCAAGATTTTAGTAAGCGGTTAAGAGCTACCCTTTAATAGAGAGGATCTAGGGTCTGGGATGGTGGATGGGGTACAGATTGCAGCTTGGGATAAAGGACTGGGGTGCAAGAGGTTGGTGTGGGGTCTGGGAGAGAGTTGGTGTGGGGTCTGAGTGAAGGAGGGAGCTGTGATCCAGAGCAGGATCTAGGAGGGTGTATGGCTGCAGGAGTGGATTCTGGACTGGGGAGGAGATTAGGAGGTAGTGCAGGTTTTGGGAGGGAGTTGTGACCCAAAGGAGATGGGGCGAGCGGATACAGAAGGTTTGGGTAGTGACATGGTAGTTGGGGGGAGGGGGAGTGCCAGAGGCCGGCTGTGGCTGGGAGGTGCTTATCGAGGTGCCAGCATCCCAGCAGGAACCTGAGACAGGCTCCATACCTGTCAGCGAAATTTCTTAGCTCCTATTGGCTGAAACTGGATAATGGGAGTACATGGATTTTGCTGGGGATGGGGCTAATGTGCAAATTCTCCCATCCTTCTCCAGCTTGCAGAGCAAATAGCAGCCATCTATAGTAAGGGTGCAGCGAGAGGTGGCTATAGGCCAGCATCCAGCCCTCTAGCTGCCTCTTGCCCAACCTTGCTGTAACCCACCAAGAGCCAAAACTTCCACTGAGCTCAATGAGAAATTGCAAGTTCAGACTTTTAGTGCATGGAATTTCTATTGATTTGAATGGGTTTTTTAATAGGAGACATGGGAAATAAATCTGTTAGTCTTTAAGATACCACAAGACTTCTCGGACGAGGCCTGCACAGAATATGGCCTGCAGGCTGGATCCAGCCCATCAAGCCACCAGATCCAGTCCACGGAGGCAGTGGGGAACTCCAGGCAGGCTCCCCAGCTTGCCCCACAGCCCTTCACACCACTCAGAAATGTGGATGCGGGGCGCTTTCTCTTTATGAGCCTGAAGGGAAGTGAGGGAAGATTCAGACACTACTCCCACAATTAGCACAATCCCATTGGCTGGTTTCTGGTCAATGGGAGCTGCGTATTTGAAAAAAGTCAGTCACAAAGCACAGCACCCCCACCCCTCCTGCTAAGTTACTCAAGCACATGGGCAGGCAGGCAGAAACATTTTAAGCTCTACAAGCCTTTAGCTCGGCAGGCAGGCCGGCAGGCTTCTTCTGGCACCTCAGCTCCTCCTTTCCCCAACACTCTGCCCTCCATTCCAGCCCCACTATTCCACATGCACCCATACCCCCTCCCAGATTTGGCCTTTTGCCCGTCTCTTGCACCCATATCCCCTCCCAGATCTGGCACCCCAGTCTCCTGCCTGAGATCACAATCCCCTCCCTGCCCTGGGTCACAACTGCCTCCTTCATCCAAACTCCTTCCCAGACCCTTATCCCAAGCTCCCTTCTGCACCCAACCTCCATCCGAGACCCCATATCTCCTCCATTAATACCATGGAAGAGTGCAGCCCTCAACCACTTTCCAAAATCTTGGAGTGGTCCCCCATCAAATAATTATTGCCCACCCTTGCCTCTGACTACTTGTAAAAACAAACATGGCTATCCCTCTGAGACATTTTATGATTTATTTTGGAGTGAGACAAAATTCTAATATTAAAATTAAAATACAGTGTGTGATTTGCATGAATAAGGACAACTAAAGTCTTCCCTGTATTATTTTTATACTTCTGATAATTATTTCGCTGCAGTGTGCTGATGTAGATACACTGTTATAATTAGATGTATAACATATGCTACCTTAATTTGATTGAATTTGACTAAAAAAGTACAAAGAATTTTCTCCTGCCTCCAGTGCTGTTTGATTATATAGTGAAGACTCACTACTGGGAAGTTAAAGAAGTGCTGAGCTGCTGGGCTAGTGTGTGCTTATTACCAGTTGTGGGGGTCTGGTCCCACCCCCTTCTCTCCCGCTTGTCTTTTCCGCTCCCTAGCTACTGATTGGTAGCCGCTTTTAAAAGTATGTTCCGCTGGGTGTGCGGGGTGGGGGGTCTAGGCCCACCCTCACTCCCAGACCCCAGCCCAGGGCCCTAAAGACAGAGTCTCCTGGACCTGTCCCACCGGAGGGGGTACATACCCTTAACCCACCGGTGCGCCGGCTCCGTGCCCTGCCTTGGGCTGCTTCCACCCCACCTCCTTCGCACCTATCTTATAGCTGTCTTCCTCCTCCCCTGTCTCTCTCCTGTCTCGCTCCTCCCTCTCCTGTCTCTCTCCCCCCCTTTGCCAATTCCCTTGGGGCTTTTATCCCCCTCCCCCTTGCCCTTCCTCCCGGGTGTCTGACGTCACTTCCGCCCCTGCCGCCACTTCCGGCCGCCATTGCCCTGTGGCCGTGCGATCCGCGTTGCTGGGGCTCAGCTGCAGAGCGACGGCGCTACACAGTCCGCAAGTGGTTAGCTCCCGCGGTGTTGCCCCCATGAGCGCGAGGGCAATCGCGGGGTCAGTATGGGGTGGACCAGTTTCAGGGGGGTAGGCGGGTCTCACCCCGTCACACACCTTCCCCCTCATGCTCTCGTCTTGTCCCCTTTGGTCTCCTTGGTCCTCGGCCATGTTTCTTGATAAGAAATCCGCGTTTCCATTAGCCTTCCCAGCTGGGTGACTTACTTCGAAACGGTATGGCTGTAACGCCAGG